ACTCTGTTTGCTCAAACACAGGAGAGTGATCATTACGATCAGCCACAGTGATGGTCACCATAGTTGTTCCAGAAAGGCGTGGTGAGCCATGGTCTGTGGCAGTAACTCGGAAGTAGTGCAGGTCCATGTGTTCTCGATCCAGAATGTGTGTGGTGGTGAGAAGGCCAGTAATTGGGTCCATTTGGAAGTAATCCATGGACCTGCTGTTCATTAAAGGGGCCATGCTGTAACTGAGTCTGCCTGCCTCACCAGCATCAGGGTCCTCAGCTGTCATAGTTATGACTGAGGTACCAGGAGGCTGGTTCTCAGCAACCTGAACCTGGTAGTTATACTGGGGGAAATGGGGGTGCCTATTAGCAGCTCTACGGGAGCGCCCAACAGGAGGGACACCTGTTTGTTCTTCGATGTACTCTTGCTCCTCTCCTCTCTGAACTTCATCACTCTCTCTTGCTTTTTGTTTTGCAGTGTACTGATCTTTTTGTGTGTTTTCCACCCCATCTACACTTTCACGTTTAAGCTCATTTTGTTCAGTCCATATTCCCTCTTTGTTTTCATCACTCTCTCTGTCTGACTGAGAGGTGCCATTGCCTTGACCTTTTTCTCTCAGTAATTTTTTCTCTTCTAACACTGCCTCTTCCTTTGTGTCTTCTGCAATCACCCACTCCATGCTTTCCTCCCTTTCTCCCTCTACAGGCTGTCTGTCACCCTCCCCTTTCACCCCGCCCTCTATCTGTCCCTCCCTCCTACCGCACTCAGTCGCGGCTTCCAGCTGCTCCTTTTGCTGACTGACACCCTCAGCTTGTAATGACACCCGTTTACCGGATTTTAATTGCGGCCGCGTGGCTCCCCCATCGGCGTTTAAGCTGTCATAGTCGCCACACTCTGCACGCGCACTGGAGCAAGGATAACGTGCGCTTTCCCCTCTTATAAAGTCGCGCTCTTCACTGTCTGGAACATTTTGGGTTTCATTTGCATTTTGATCGCCAGGACTGCTGTTGTTGTGGTGGTTATTATTACGATTTTTGGCGCAGTTGTTGTTATTGTTACTGTTCCAATCCATCAGCAACAAACTTTCAGTATAGTGGCTCGAGTTAGCGAGCTCATGCACGGAGTCTGGCGCTGCCCACTGAGCGGGTGCTGAATCTTCTCTCGCGCGCTCTGCACGCGTGTGATTGTGTGAGTCACGAAAACGTTTAGGAAAGTTTAGCTCGACTAAGAGGTAGATATGTGATGCATTATGACCCCTGGGAGAGCCAGTAGCAGATGAGTCAGAGTTGTGTACATCGCCGATATACAACTGAGCAGCGCTGATTCCAGTTGATCCATTATAATGAGCCTTTCTGTCATCAAAACGAGTCCCAGTCCTGACCCAGACAGCCTGTGGCATTAAATCCCGAGCATCAGTCCGTTCGAGTGCACAAGAAGACTTTTGTGGACTATTCCGATCAGACTTTGCATGCACAAACTCTACTTTTGAGTTGTTATTTGAAGATGTGGTGTTTGTATTTTCTCTTGCCTGCCTTGCACAAACAGCGTAACGCCTCAGAGAGATGTTGAACCGGTGCCAGTTACTGCTGTGCCAGTCTGGATGCCTTTCAGAACAACCTCTGATCCGGTGTGACTCGAGATAGCTGCTTGCGTCGCTTCCAAGCCCTAGAGAGAGCTGCCACGCGCTCGGTTCTGAGCACCCGCGGGTATTCCTAATGCCTGACCCGTTCCAGCCCTCTCTGGTGAGATCGATAACATTCAGGGGGCCTGAAAGGGGACGGTCCGCTGTCGCTTTATACAATTTATTGGCGTCCGAAACCACATTCAAATAAGAATAGGCTTTTAATAACGGCCGAGTTGGTGTCTTGGCAGCGACAAACTCCCGTTTTGGGTGACATGGGCAGTGGTTAGGCCTGGATATGCTATCCACGGTTCTACAGTTATCCAGCACGCTGTGTGCAATGACCCTGTCCGTGTCGAGGCGCGACTGTGGCCGCGAGCGCGTTCTAGTCCTTTGTATAGTCCTCTTTTTGCCGTACTGAACCGAAGAGGCGAGAACACGAGAAACAACGCCCTTCTCTCCGCTGCCACCGTTACTCCAAAGAGGCTGGTGATGACAGCGTCCGGTGTGCGCCGCCGGTTCTGATATCCATGCACTAGAATTCCGGTAATCCGGACTCAACGGATCTGAGGGGGGTTCCACTGCACAGGAGCGTAAGCATTGCGTTTCCCGTCCTCGCGACTGTACCGTCCGTGCAGGGTGGATCTTCCAATCGCCCCCAGCCAAAGCCCCCGTTACCGTTCCGTCGGGCAAGCTGGCGATTTGAGCGTCTCCGGGGGCTGGGTGGGTGCACAGGGAGCGGCAGAACGGCCCTGCTGCACTCCCCGGGATAACAGTGAACAAAGAGCTGAGGAGAAGGAGAAACAACAGTGGCGAAAGCGAGCCCAAGTCCAGTAGCAGTGCAGCCATTAGTCTGGTGAAATCCTTTCTCTCTCTCCCCCCTTTCTCCCCTCTCTCTGAACCGAAGTGTCTCTCTTTCTCTCTCCAAACGCCGGCTAAGTGACCAGCTCATCCACCACCGCCCGACTCCTTCCGCCGTGCTCCCCGGTCGCTCGGTGATCCCGGGAAGCTAGCATCTACTCTCGGTGTTTGGTAGAGCTCCGGCTAGCAGCGGCACGAGCGCAGCATCTCTCATTCACATCCAACATGGCTCATAGCGAACCCGGTGCTACCCTCACTCCTCCCCCTCTCGCTTCTTTCTTTCTCTCCTCGCTCTCTCTCTCTCTCTCGCTGATACGGGAATGGTTCGTTCCAGTGTGCGCAAGGCTGTTTCCTCACTCAGATGACGCCATGTCCACCGCTGGAGAGGTACCATGTGACAATCTATCAATATCAAAGTGAAAATTAGATATGGAACGTGGAAATGGAACATAATTTATATTTAATAAATATTCCATAAATGAATCCATACATTTCATTCAAATGATATGTTAATACCTATGCTTTCTATCTTAAAATATAGGCCTATACTGATATCCTCCATAATAACTAACACTTGTAACAGAAGGCCACATGAAGTATCAAATATATCATTTGTGACTTTTACATGAACAATAACTAAGATAAAAAGATAAAACAGCATCCGTGTAACATATATGGAACTAATATAATGCAATAAACATTAAACAAATAAACAAAACAACATTAGTAGGCCTATTTTACAGAAATGTCATGTATTGTGCAGTTAAATATAGGCCTAATATAATTTCCCCAGCAATGCAAGGTAACTTTTTTTTTTTTTTTTTTACCGTTTATTGTTTTCTGTTCTACATTAACTACAAAATATATAATCAACAAATGTCAAGCATAACCTAATTTTTACTTTTGGTGTGCAGAAAAAACTGTATAATAAGGTCAGTGGGGGGGGGTAGTTTTGTGTGTAGCTGTAGCAATTGTTCACCTGTGACGTCATGTCTTATTCACCGACTGATTTCCCGAGGCGTTTTTTTTTTCATTCAATGTATTGAAGTCATATCACCTTTTCTTTCTCCTGCCAGCTTTACCTCCTACTCGGTGGTGAACGTGATTTCATCAAGTACAACATCCTTGTTGATCCTGGAACAACATTCCAATCAACCAATCAGAATTGAGGGATAACTTTTCAGGAAATATCTGTTTTAGGCTGACGATCGGGGTTAGGTGCTTCTACACCCTTGTTAATCAGCTATCATTTCACACTGATTTTAGGAATAAATTATAGGGTTAGGTTTAGGGGTAGGGATTGGGTTAAGTCTATATTTTTGGACAGTAATGTTGATCCAGGATCAACAAAAGATGTTGATCCAGGAACATGTCTTACTTAGCAAAATAACGGCGACCCCTACTCGATATACAAGGTCTAATTTTCAATGCATTTTTGACATGGAGACATTTTTTAAACTATGATCTTTCTCCTGTTTTAAATCACACTGCATGTGGGTGAATTTCAGAGACGCGTCACAGCCCCGCATGGCGGATGTGAAATCCACGCTTAGTCAGAAATAGACTTGTGCGTTACAAAAAA